ATTCACTCAGATCTTTCCCCTTTCTATGAAGATCTCTTTCCTATTTTCAAAGACTGGGTTTTCTGAACAGAATGCTWTGGGATAGATTTAGGATTATGACTTATTGTTAAAACCCCACAGTACCTTTTAGAAAGTCCCACTAGTCACTAAGATTTTGCCAGTATAATTTCTAGCTTTGGGACACATAGAGGCCCCCTTCTTTTCTCAAGCTTGAAACACAAGGGAAGCCCATCAGGGCCAGGATGAGGAAGCTCACAACCTCCTCATACATGGCAAACAAATCCTGGACTAGCAAATGCAGGGAACAGTAACAACTGGCCACAAGCTATGGCCTTTGTTTACCAAAATCCACCTTGCTATTCCTTTCTATATATTACACACACACACACACACACACACACACACACACACACACACAACCTCCATTACCACCATATAAAAACATATGCTACTCCTTACTCTACATTCTCAAAAGTATCTCATTTATACCAAACTCTGGTTCACCAAGTACAACCTCGCAAAAAGCCATCACTTTCAGATTGCCACTTTTAAGATGGTGCATGTGTGTGCACGCCTGTGGTGTCCTTTCATTCACCCTCAAACACCTTAGAGGGTGCTTGGAAGGAGCTATGCCTCTAATTCTCCCATACTTTAATGATTTTGCTCCAGGCTTATTTTCTGCAAAGTCTCCATCAATTCCTTCTCATGGAATTCCTTCTCATCCAGGCATTTCCTGCAATAATTCTCTGCTTCATCCTTAAGTTTCAGGGTTGAGTCTCTTCTCCCCATATTTGCAAAACCCAGGCAGGTTGGGTAGCCGGTGTGATGCTATCAGAGGCAGCCTTATCTATCTACAAAGTGTGAATCAGTGATTACACCACACAGGGCTGGTGCCAGCCAGGCGGACTGCCATATTGCCAAGTAACCCAGTGGTTGAACCAGGTTGGGCTGAGTAATATCCACCAATGGGAAGTGAGTTTATTAATCATGCGGTGTTGTACACTGTTGACGAAAGTGTAACTCTGAAGGCCTGGTTTGATTGAAGGTGCAGGTGGGGCAGGATGCTAACTATGAAGACACCCAGTGATAATATCTTTACCTCTGATAATATTCTCCTGAAAACTATAGAAATCTGGAAGGAAACATCTAGTTTAGTGAAAAGATGGACTATAAGCGCAATCATTAGGAATTCTCAGCTATCTTGGATTTCCTTTAAGAAGGAACTCTCTGTCTATAAAGCTGTCTATAAAGCTGCAGTTTGGAATTCTGAGTTTCTTGAGGTGAGAGAAAGGAATTCAATATGGCAACCAGTGACCTAGAATTGTGTGGGTGTGAGAATTTAAAATTCCATACTGCATTCTCTTTATTCTTCTCTCATGTCAAAAACATTCTTTTCTAAGGCCGCAGCCCACCTCCTCCACCCAGCTCTGGCCTCAACTTTTTGGTAACTATAGCCAATCAGAAATGTCCTCCATATTTCTGTGATGGGTCTGCATTGGGGTGTCAAGAGCACTCTCTGAGCAGGGACACATTTCTGTGACTTTGGGCCTGGCCTGGTTTGCACCTCAGGGGCAGACACGCTGATCCCTCTCACAATCTGGTGCTACATTTACACAGTGCATTGTCATTTACAAAGCCCGAAACTTTGGTGAGGCAGATCACATGCAAAAGGCACAGCAGAGAAGACCAGGTGAATTTTCTATAATGTGCACAGAAGGAAAAGGAGAGAGTACTGAGTTGTCCAAAGACTGCTCTAGAACCAAACTTGCAGGGATAAAGGATTTTTAAGACTACAGGGAGTATGGTGAGAGGAGAGGGTGGAGATGCAGATACAATAAGTGAAATGCACATATTTTCCTCAAAAGCAATGGAGAAAGCTCTAGGCTGGGTGGTAAACTTGGTTAAGGATGAGGAATGTTCTGGGAAAGATAGCTGGCGGGGTGAGGGAAGCACTATTTTCATGGGAGATAGAAATCATAAGATGTGATGGTTTGATGCTACACAAACTTTCCCTGCATGTTTTCCAAATCCCAGATGTCCTTCCTTCCCTGAAAAGCATTGGGTCAGTCATAAGAGCTATTTTTGAATCAGGACCACCTTGGCTACCTTTCCCAGCTATTGACAAGTGAGGCCTAGAGGAATTCTGTCCAAGTGGGATTAAAGCTGTAGAACTTTAAAATCTGATTTCCCCCCATTATCTGACCACAAAAGAGTTGCCAGTCTTTTCAGTTATCTTGCCAACCCTGAAGAATCCCTGTCAAGTTTCTGTTTTTCAGGCTTCAAAAAGCTTAAGCAAAAGAGGCCCTTCAGAGTCCTCCTGTTCAGGAATTCCTTAAGATCATTAGAGAAATACTTCACAAAGTAGGAGATTTACTCATTGGAAACCAGAAGGAAGGTTCTAGAAGATTTCAGTCACCAGTCTTGACTCCCATGAATTTATCCAACCTGTTCATTTAATCTGTGATAGTTTCAGACTCCCAGAAAGGTGAAGTGGGATCCTATTCTCCTAGAACCACAATTGGCACTCAAAAATGGATYTGAAACTCTGGAACCCACACAATATTCTGACCCACTTCCAGTAACACCAGGTTCCATATTTCCAGAGTTTTTAGAACAAGAACAGCAAAATGAGGCATAGCAACCTATCAAACAAACCACCAGCCAAAAACAAAACAAGACAAAAAACAGGCCAAACCAAAACTTTATGCTATGAAAACAAGAAATAAAATAAGGAGATTTAAAGGCCGGCTGATTGTCAGCAAACACAATATATTTACTGTATTGGCATTTGCTCACAGTGCAAATGGTACAACATTACACCATTTCAATATTTCGGTTTTTAAAAATGCTGTTTTCATTAACTATATTATATTGGCATAACAATGTGACAAAGGAGCAAATGAAATGTTGGTGAAGAATCTCACCTTTTCACAATATCAAGCATTTTTTTAACCTTAGTATAAGGTACTATAAATCCAAGAAATAAAAACATCCACAAAATATATTACATCTGGTTTGTCTTTTTCTAAGTACTCAACTTTGTACAAAAGTCTTTCAAAAAATATCATTCCCCATAGGTTTTCCTGTTTAAAACCTGATTTTTTTTCTCTCAGTTCACATAAGTTAGAGTGCATTTCTTTTGTTGGTTTTAAAACATGCAGACATATAAAAAAATCTGGATAGCACAACCTTTTGGCAACAAAGTTATTTTTCTCTTAGTTTAGCTTAAATGTCTGAGAACAGTTTTATTAAAACAAAGGAAAACTCAGAGTAATCATGCAGTGACATGCATATCCCAGGAGGAGCAAGGAAAAAATATTAAAGGATATCTGATTCCTCCTTCCAGCTTTGAAGTGACCAAATTTTTTTTTWAATAATCATCACATTATAAAAAGTATTCAGCAAAATACTGTCTCTGCAAAGAAAGATTTTACCCTTCAGCTGAAAAAATATGGGCCCTCCTGGCAAACTTCATCTTCCTCTCTCTCCTTCTACAAAAAGCCCAAGTACCTGGAAATTCACAATYCCCCTATTCTTTGAGTTTTTCTCCCCTTTCACTAGAGTCCTCTTAGTATTATTATCCACCACCAAAAACGGTGCTTTTTTATAAAAAAAAAAAAAAAAAGTGGGAAACGCATAAAGTGACTTTAAAAACAGACATTCTGTAAACTCCAGACCTTTGTTCCTTCTCTCTGGGCAGCTTACTGGCCACAGGAGAAATAACGCTAATAGGGAACAGTACATTCAGTCAAGACTGCTGGGAGCTGTGTCAGAGAGCACCCTTCCCTACTTCTCCACTTCAAAAGGGCCACCCTGTGTGAGGAAGGGCTGGGCAGGACAGCTGGGGAAGAGGGGGCGCCTGAGAAGAGGTGAGGTAGGGCAGGGAGAAGGTGAGACTGGGGAATGGAAAAGATGTGCCTGATTCATCAACATGGATTAATGCAAAAAATCCTCATGTAACTTAGAGGAAAATTTGGACAGAGATATGTGCATGCATATATACACACATATATGTATGTATATGTGTATATATATATATCCACGCATACATACAAACATGTAGATATAATTTCATCATTTAATATTTTCATAAAAAATAAATCATTTAAAGCTGTATATGCCTATTAGTTCTCTTTATTCCAGTGCACTGCACTGGATAACCAAGTACCTTAGATATTTGATTTTGCTAGGAATACATATGTATGTATGTATGTGTGTGTGTGTGTATATATATATATATATATATATATGCATGTGCACATACATATACATACACATACATGCACACACCATACACATATATTTAAATTCTATCTGTTGTGTTGGTGATGACAGAAGCAAACAACAACAAAAAACATGGCCAGCTTTCTCATGAATGGTGGGAAGAAGAAATAGGTATGAGAGTGAAAAAACAAAGTTGGGTGGCTGGTTGAGGCCTGCCTTTCTGATAAAAGGTTTTGAGAGACCTGGGGAAGAAGTCAGGGAGAGGGGGAAAGAAGAGGGAGAGGGCAGAGGGCAAACTCAGGAGCATAGATTTTGGAAAGGGGGGGCCGAGAAAACATATTTTTTAAAAGGCAGGCTCAGTGATGGCTGCTCTTTCTCCCCGCAGATCAAACTGCCCTGAGGCCTAAGAAGGAAGCGCTCGGAAAAGGGGGGGTTCTGAGGGGCCAAACCCTAAGCGGCTGCAGCAGCACCGCGGCGGCGGCATCCGAGGCATTTCTGTAAGAAACATTATTTCGGAGCAGATGGAAGACCATCTCCTCCAGCCACGTGCAGGCCCCTAGCCTGGGATATCCCCGAGCGGCTTTGGGGACCCGATGTGGGGAAGAGTTTGGGGGTAAGACACAGCCCAGTTCAGCTCAAGAGTCTCTCACACACGCGCGCGCRCRCACACACACAYACACACACACACACACACACACACGCGAGCACGCACACACTCGCGCGCATCCCCGCACGCAGGCGCGCGTGCGTGCGGCGGGCAGCAAGCTCTGCGCTTTGGTGCGCTCCATACCCCCTCCCCCTCTCGGGTCTTCGAGGGGGAAGAGACACACAGGGGGGAATCAGTGAGGTGCTTGGGTAGGGCGAGGGTTGGGTGGGCCCCGCCTTCAGTCCCCCCGCAGGTCCTTGGCGCGGCCCAGCGGCCCCTGGATCAAGGCGATCCCAACTGAACAAAGCGGGCTAGACGCCACCTTTCCGCCCCCACGCCTTGGCTAAGTGGGGGACAGCGAGGGGAAGGCGCCTCCAGCCTGGCCCTCGACCGCTGGCCGGTGTGAAAGGATGGGAATGGGGGGCATCGAAGGGGTGCAAGGGGCCGCACGTCCATGGAGAGGCCAGGGCGCGGCCCTTGAGCCTCCGTGGCTGGCTTTCCCGCTGCCTTCAGGCGAGCAGCCGGGAGGCACTGGAAGGGAAAAGAGGGGATCTGGGGGCCCGAGCCTCAGGCGCAGGTGGTGACCACGGGGGCCAGAGACACGGTGGGCGCCGAGGACGCGGAGGGAGCTCCCCCCTTCTCCGCCTTCTTCTCCTTTTGCTTGAGGTGGATCTTGGCGTGGCGCTTGCGCTCGTCGCTGCGCGCAAACTTGCGCCCGCAGAACTCGCAGGCAAAGGGCTTCTCGCCCGTATGCGTGCGGATATGAGTGGTGAGGTGGTCGCTTCGGCTGAAGCTCCGCATGCAGATCCGGCACTGGAAGGGCTTGTGGCCCGTGTGGATACGCAGATGCCGGGTCAGCTCGTCCGAGCGGCTGAAGCGGCGGTCGCAGCCCTCCGCCGGGCACGCATGGGGCCGCTCATGGAGCGGGGTCTTGCTAGGCCGGTTGGGGTACTTGCGGGGCCGGATGGGCTTGAGCGTGAGAGGCGGCTGGGGCAGGCTACCGAAGCTCGGGTGGATCTGCTTGTCTTTGAACGCCTTGATGGTCTCCAGAGGGGTGATAGGGGGCGGATTGACCCGGATGGGGTCCATGCCCTGGAAGGGCTTGTGCTCCGGAATGGAGCCCATGTCGTTGGGGTGGTGGTACAGGTTGTAGTCAGGAATCATGGGGAAGAGATTGCTGTCCAAGGCTGGCTTGGTCGATTGGTAATCCTGGGGGGAATAGGCGAGCCCGGGGTTGCCCTGGGGATCGTGGAAAGATACGGGCTCCGAGTAGAGATCTCCGCAGTTGGAATAAGGGGGTAACGCCGGATACATGGCCTCCACGTCTCCCTGCGGCGGCTGCACCATGCTGGCTGTGGATGTCTGCGTGCTGAGCGCCCCTGAGGCCGGGGGCACTCCCAAGATGCCGGCACTCATGAGGCTAATAATGTTGTCCTGGCACCAATTGGAAGGGGAGTCGAAAGCGAACTTTCCCAAGTAGGTCACGGTCTTGTTGCCGGGGGCTGGCTGGAAGGAGCCCGAGTAAGAGAGTTCCGGGTTGGGCTTCTCGTTGGTCAGACCGATGTCCATCACATTCTCTGCGGAGAGCGGGGGAGAGAGGGGAGGGGTGAGTGAAGCCGAGTCGGCTCCGGGCCGTGGCGCCCAGGTCCTTGCCCAGGTGAGAAGGGTGCGGCCGGCTGGAGTGCGCAGCGCATGGGGTAAGAGGAACGCTGGGCCCGGCGCAAAGCGGGCGGTGCCGCGCTCCCGGGCGCAACCTGGATACAGCAAAATACTACGGATCGGGGTGTGGAGTGGCTGCGGCACACACACCGCACACGCCGCGCACACACTCACGTACCACACACACACGCGCGCGCGCGCGAGAAGCATTGTTGTTCTTCCCGAGGTGGGGCGGGCAGGTAGCTGCAGCTACAGGTAGTTTCAGACCCGGAGCGCGCCKGGCTCTCGCTCTCCAGCTCACAAAACTCGGCCTCTTCCCCTGGCCCTGTCTACTCCAGGACGCCGCGCCTTTACCGCCAGGGCGATGCCCCCTACGCGCGCTGCGCCTGGGTCGCGGACCCAGAGCGCTTCAACGCTTTGTCCTCGGAGCGTAGAAGGGTGCCGCCCGCAAAGGGAGCTCTCCGGTCGCCTCCCCGGTCCCCAGCCTCCTCCTGGCCTGAAGGGGCTTTCAGCTCTTGCTGGAGGGGAAAAGCCTATGCCCAGCCAGAGAGGGTGGAGGGCGGCGGAAAACCGGCCCGCGTCTCCAGCGCTGGAGCGGCCGCCCTTCCCAAGCTCCCGGGTCCCAGGATGGCCCCCTGTGGCAGTACCCCCAGCCCCGCGGGAGAGCCCCCTCCTTCTCCCAGCCGTCCCCACACCCCCACGGTTTTGCTGAACGCCCCGGAAAGGCAGCGTCGCAGTACCTCTCCCACCGCGGGGACTCCACGCCGCACATGGCTCCATCCCGGGTGGGAGGCTGAGGGAGTAAGGGGGGAGAGCGCGGGTGAAAAAAGACGCTGGGCTCCTCCCGAGAAAGGGGGTGACAGCACCACGCCTTGCGTGCAGCCCAGAGATCGGGCCCCCTGCGTGGGGAGGGAGAACCCCAGAGCAGCTCGCACCTACCTCCCTCCGATCGGCGGCTGCCCCCACCCGGGAGAACAGAAGCCTCTACCGTGGCGTCGCCAACCGAGCCTTCCCGATCGGGGAGGGCGGGAGGAGTGGGTGGGAAAAGCAACTCGCCCCCCAGAAAATTCCCAGCACGCCCCCACCTCTCCATCCATCCATCCATCCATCCATCCATCCATCTATCCATCCATCGCTAGCTTGTTCCTTCCTTCTCTTCCTCTCCCCTGCCTTCCTCGCTGCCTTGCAGCCTCCCTGCTACCCTTACCTGTAGCCATCTGATTGTAATGGGCCACCGAGTCGCTGCTGCCAGAGAAGAGGTTGAGCGCGCTGGGGATCTCCTCAGGGTACAAATTGTCAGGCAGTTGGTTTAGCAAACTGCTCATGGTCACCGGCAGCTTCTCGGCGAGTTTGCCGGTCATAGCACTCCCGAGCTGCCGCCGCCGCCGCCACCGCCGCCGCCGCCGCCGCCGCTCGCTCCTAACGCAGCTTCCAGGCAAGCGGCATCGGAGAGGCGATCCGTGGTGCAGGGGAAAAGCATGCGAGAGGGAAAGTTCGGGGGGAGGGGGGAGGGAAGAGGGGAAGGGGTGGGCCAGGGGAGGGGATCTTCTCTTTTTTGGGGGGTGGGTGGGAGGGGGGCAAAGGGGGTAATCCTCTTGGGTGCCTCAGCTGGTGCTGTGTGAGGCTGGGTCGTGGGGGGTGGGGCGTGTGCGGGGGGTGGGGTGGGGGCTGGGCTCGGGGTGATCTCGGCTCTAGGGGGGGGGGGGGGGGGGGCTGGGCTCGGGGTGATCTCGGCTCTAGGGGGTCGGACGCGGCCTCAGAATTGATCTTACAAACAGACACGCGCCCGCCACCCCCCCGTCCCCCGATCTGCCACCACCGCCGCCACCGCCGCCGCTTCTGCCGCCGCTGCCTCTGCCGCCGCTGCCGCCGCTGCTACCACCACCACCAGCCCCGCCGCTTCCTAGCAAGCTCACTGCTGCCCAAAAGCTCCCAGCCAGGGAACTCCACCAGCCTATTTATCTGAGCCCCGGGAAAACTCCGTGACGTAGCTGCCCATATATGGACAGACAAAGCCCAGCCGAAGGGGCGCGACGTCACAATGGAAGCTCCTCACAATGGAACATTAGAAAGCAGGAAGCGGGCCGCAGCCAACGTGCAGCGCCCGCATCGCTCGCCGCTCTTAAATAAAGAGAGAAAAAGAGAAAAGTAGAAGAAAAAAAAAGAGAAGGAAAATGTGAAAGAGGGATGCTGCTGAAAGCAAAGCGCGCAGCACGCAGTGCTTAGTGCTTAGTGGAAAAACCAGTAACCAAGCCTGTGTGTGTGTGTGTGTGTGTGTGTGTATGTGTGTGTGTGTGTGTGTGTGTTTGCGCGAGCGTGCGCGCGTGCGCGCGCTTTTTTGAGAACTGAATTAGCATGTATGGGGGGTGGACTGGGGTTGCAACTGGCCTACAGCAACCCCAGGAGGGAGAAAGAAAATTGAATACACCCGACGATGTCCCCTTGGTAGTCTGAAAGCTGCTGGGGAACCCGGAAGGTATGCGCTCAGACTGTGCTCCTGCGGCGCCCCTAGAGTTCAGGACCCTACTCGAGACTCTAACGAGAGTGCTTCCCTTTGCCTGGGGGTTCCAAGGTGGTTAAGGCTCTTTGGTCCATTATCCTGAGAACTTTGGTGCACACCTCACTCTGATTCGCAGCCCCTGCCCCTTCCTGGACCCCTGGCCCGGAGCTGACTTCCAGTTGAACTCGGTGATGGTGGGGTGTTGTAACTGCCAATCGTTTTCGCGGGAGGCAAGAGTCCCACTCATCTGGAGTCGAAGATGTGCGGTTTTGGTGGTGAGGAAGAAGAAATGAAGTTTAGGATAGAAAACACGTGCACCAAGTCCCAGATAAATTCCCTAACGGTTCCAAAACAACCCCTTTGGCCACAGGATGGCAGGAGGGCCCAGCAGGCCCCAGCACAGTCGCTGTGTATTGCTGCCTGCGAAAGGGCCGCCGCTGAGTTGCACCAGGAGAACACGGAACCCACGATTTCTGAACACCCCCCCCCCCTCAGCCTCCCCTAGTCTCTACCCTCCGCTTCGCCTTCCACAGGGCTGTCCTCATTGCTGCCTGCCCGCGCCCTGCAGTCAAGCGCGGCCTATGTGCCGACCCGGAGCGCTGTCACCTCCCCGAGCGGCAGCGGATCCCGGGGGCGGGTGATGTGTTCCCCGAGGCCTGCTCCTAAAGCGCGCGCGGCCGGGCCGCAGGCGAGGGGGAGGAGAGGAAGGGCGCACAGAGGCGCGACCCCGAATCACACCGGCTTGGCGGGGGAGGATTCTCTCCTCGGTGGCCGCGTGGGCACGGTGAATCCCGCGTCCCCCGCTGCAGAGTCGGGGTTGGGGGACCGTGCATCTCTCAGGGGGAGTGGGAGTGTTGACAAGGAAGAAGAGAGGATCCCCGGGCCTCACGCCGTGGGAGGGCCATGCGGGCCGGGGACGTGTGGGAGGAACTCCCGAGCTGCGCATTGTGGTGGGGGTGGATGACAACCTCCCTTCCCTCCCCGCCACTCCACTCCATGGAAAGCTGAGGATGGGAGGGCCCGGTCTCCCCCGGATCTTCTCTAGTTCTTAGGAAAGGAGGGATTCCCGCCGCCCGCGAGCCCCCTCTCCACCACCCCCGCCGCCTCTCCCGCCAGGCTCCCAATTCCTATGCCGGGGAGGCACAGCGCCCCCGGGCTCTCCTCCGCCCGCGCGGCGCGGGGAAGCAGCGCGCTGCAGCGGTCCCTGGCTCCGGCCGGAATCAGGGCATGCAGCGCCTCCCGCCCCCGGTTCCCTGGGGGAGGGGGGCGAGCGGCCGGTCGGGGGGCGTGGGTGGCGGTGTGAGCCGGGCTGGATGCGGGAGGGGCCCTGGCGGCTGCAGGGAGGGTCGCGGGGCGGCTGGCCAAGCCGGGAAGAGCCATACAAGGAGCGGATCCGGTGACGTGCCGGCCGCGCCCCTTCTCCTTCTCTATTTGGCTGCAGATTCCGGTCCCCGAATTTGCATATTTTGGCATCCAGTGGAAAAGGAAAGAAGAACGGAACCCGCAGCCTTTAAAGGAACCGTAGAGGCTGTAGCGTCACCTAGGGAGGCGGTCTGGGGGGCGTGAAAAATTAGCCAGCTGCTGGGGCCTCTGGCCTTAGAGCTTGGCGGTAAGAGAGGGGCGGGGAGAAGAGAGGACCCGCGAGCTTTGGGCGCGCCAGTCCCAGTCCTGGTTCCTCAGGGGCGCTTTCTGTTGCGCGTGCACGCCGAGGATGTGGTTATGTGTTTCCCTGAGGGTGTCTGCCCAGGGCCAGGTGATGCTGCGAGGTCCTCCGTCTTGGACAAGCCGCAGACCCCAAGACTGACTGCACTGCCCAYGTCTCCCGGCACGAGACACAACTCGGCTCTTGCGGGGGTGTTGGAAAGGAAGCGAGAAGCCTCTGGCTCAATTCAACTCCCAGGATCCCTCAATGCACCCACTTTCCACCTGTCGGGCTCTCTTCCCTGGAGGATGTGCAATGAGGAACTGGGAGCTTTATTCATGAACCACAGGAGCCTGCAGTGGGAAAGGCAGAGGCAATGGTAGCCTTTGGTTCCTTGAAGGCTTCCAGGTTCCATCGCAGGTGGAAGGGTACATCCACTCCAGAGGAGGCTCTCCAACTTTAGAGTCTAGATGGACCTGTTGCTCCCAAGGAGGATTTGTAGCAGAGCTTATTGACTGTATTAGGGCCTGCTTACCTGCTGGGGGAGACTAGATAGGAGTATTTTGGAGCAAGATGCCCTACCCCTCTTTCCTACTAATTCTTAGTATAGAATGGGAGCATTCAGTTCAAGTCAAGTGTTCATTAAAGTTTGAGTGTGACCTTGGGCAAACCTCTGTCTTTCTTAGCCTCAGTTTTCTTATCTGTAAATTGGGATAATAATAACAACACCTACCATGTAGGAAGAATTAGAGAACCCTCGTAGACTACTTATGCTAGGCCCCTAGCAAGCAATCAACAAATGGCAATTATTATAATTAAACTTCGTCTTTCCCACACTCCCATATGACAGAAATGCCCTTCTTCCTGTGTATCCCAGAAAGGTGTTTAGACCATCCAGTAAAAAGGGCTTGGTATGGAACTCCATCCCATATCAACAAGAAATATTTTTTTATTATTTATGGAGAAAAGGAAATTCCTATCTGAGTGTTAGCATGCCAATCACAGCATGGTTAAGAAATGGTCTCCATTCTACAGGAGCGCAAACAAGGATTAAGATCTCAACAATTGGTGGTAACACCAGAGTAACAAGAAGTCATGTAGTCACTCTTTTTAAAATTTTAAATAATTATTTTTATGTTTTATAATCCTACTACATCGAGTATAACTTCCCATTTTTGTGGCTGTACATGCTGTGGAGTTTCACTGGTTGTGCGATCATATATGAACATAGGAGAGTGATGTCCGATGCATTCTACTGTCTTTTTATTGTACTCTCACATCCATCCTTCCCTGCCTTCCAATCTGGTGAACCTCCACTCCTCCCTCCCCACCCCAGTCACTCTTGAACACTCTGGAGCACCCTTTTAGACTTTCTTGAGGGGTGGCTATAGCTCCCGGGGGGGGGGGTGTGCAGGATGCTGTGCCTTCTCTTTTCTACCATTAAAGTAGCCATGTTGGAGAAAGCTAGCCCTGCAAACTTAGGCCCTCATTGTATGTTTCCTGTTCTAGTGGCAGTGCCAAAAGGTGTTGACTGTCACCTGGATAATGGTGGCAGAAGGATGCCAGGGTTCTGTGGCAAGAGGGATGATCATGATTGTGGAATATGGTAGAGTGTTTGGAGTGGCTACTTTGTAGAATACTAGCCTTCTTTCTTCTGGTTGCCAAGGCTGGAATTCAGCTTAGAAAAAAAAAAATTTCCCCTGTCCTCCCTCCTTCCCTCTTCGTTTCCTCTCTCCCTCCTGAAGAGGAGCTGGAGGTGTTTGTTTCAGTTTTATTGGCGGGCTTAGGTGAGATTGCCAAGGGCCTAATTACCTGAACTCTAAGCCCTGAACTTGTTGGGGAGCGAGTAGGCACTGGTTCAGAGCGTCCCCCCAACCCCCAGGCTGGTGAAATGCAGGCAGGCAGGCGGCCCCTCTGCAACAGAGCCAAGGCCGCCCAGGCCTTGGCTGCTCTCTCTCTCATCCCTGAGAGAGACTTACAGGGACTACTGCAGCATGTATGGGAGCTGGTGTATTTGTCTTGGTGAAGAGTAAGGGAAGGAGATATGGTCCGAGATCCACTGCAGAAAAGAGCAAAGTCACAACTCTGGCTTGGCCCTTTTTCCATAGTCACCACTACACTCTGAACTTCAGCTCTCCTTGTTGCTAAACATAGTCTTTCAAGAAAGACCTCACCCCATGAACACAACCTGGGACATTAGCTATTTAGTGCATTGCCATTCTCAGAGGGTATTTGCATCTTAAAAGGAAAAGCTTAGAGAGGGTAATAGATACTTTAAAGAAATTAAGTTCAGTACTTAGCTTGACACCTGAAAAATGGTAGGTGCTCATTAATGACATAAGATCAAGCCTGGGGACACGACCTGTGAGGATTTGAGCAGAGAGATGACCAGATTGCTCAAGGTATACCAAGCATTAGTGTAGAAGGCCACCTTGGTGGGATTACTCCTGAATGGAGTTCTCTTGACGGTCCTCCA